TCTATGGGAAGAAATGATGAAATGGTCCTTTAATATTGCCAAATACATTTTGGACTATATTTTAATCTATATCATAACTTGTGAATAACAAATAAATGTGTCATCCTATTCCAGAGTGGAACTACACATACAAGCCTGAAGTCCACACCAGAGGTAAGTCCACACCATTGCTCTATTCAATCAACTTGCATTTTTTATCTTTTAGGAAGGATTCATGAAATAAAATTACAACGACATCCTGACTCACAGGGTGCAAGTCTGGACCCTCAGGGGCTGTTGGCAATGAATTTGGAGACCTAGCTAATGTGCACTAACTCTATGGGAACTCTCACTGAATACAATCAGATTAACAGACTAACACTCTTCTCTTTGTCTCCAACATACTCCAACATACTCACATAAATGGTATTCCTTAAAATTCAATTCTGTTCTTTCAGGTGATACCAAAGAAGAGAATAATGTAGCAATTGTTAGGAACCTAAGCAATAAGGAACTAGGTAAGGCTGGAATCACAGTAAAATAATAGTGTTATGAATTTTAATATACTTGTACACACACACATACACTAACAAACACACATACCGGTACACACGCACATATTCACTACAAGCATGTTGCTCAATCAGGTCGTTAGCATACTTAAGAAGATAATTTATTGATTTTTAAGTCAATTAAGTCTTGGAATGTGTCTTCATCAAATTGTAATAAGTCTATTGAATCCTTTTTCAACATGCACAGATATGGAATGTTACATGTAAGTTTTCATTTGCTATCATTTTTCTCTTTTGCTGATATCAAAGACACAAAGAGTGTGTCAGATGCTGAGGGCAGTGAGGAGAGAGGTAAGACAGTAAGGTCACTTTAAGGGAGGAATGTACCCAAATATCGCTAAAAATCATCATTTTGGGGTTTTTATGTCTAATTATTGGTCAAATGTGTATCTAACGTGTAACGGAATAACCTTTTTACATTTTGAACAAAAAATATGTTTTTTCTGAGGATTTTGATGCTGCACTCATCGGCACCGGTGGCTTGGTCTTTTCATTTAACACACTTTAAAATGTACACACACACACACAAACATACTCTCAGACACAAACAGATTGAGGCTGGGGTCTTCTGGGTCTTCTGAAGATGTCCAGAATATTTTATGTTTACATTGATCAGGATCTAGTTTTCTTTGTCAGAAGACAGTCCATAATGGAGGATGGATCAACAAACATAATTTGCAAGGCTTTCAGAATATATTTCTGGATCCAACCCTGACAAACACTGTTTAATTTTAATTGAATGTGTCTTTGACTATGTAAAATAATGTATTGAATCTTTGTTAATGTGCACAGACATGGAATGTTTAATTTGTGTTCCATTTTTTCCTTCAGTTGATGTCAAAGACACAACAACTATGACAGAGGACGTGAAGGAGAGAGGTAAGACAGCAGGGTCAATAGAATAGGGATCTATTCATTACACTAATGACGTGATTGTGCATGTACACACACACACACACACACACACACACACACAAAGGTACTGTACTTGCATGCATGTTGCACAAGCTAAGTCTGGTCTTTGACAGACTTAAGAAGATACTTTATATTCTGAAAAATTAAGGCTTTTGCTGTGTAACGATTGAACACACATAATGTTGTCTTGAAAATTCGATTCAATTCTGCCCTTTCAGTTGATACCAAACTAAAAGACAAGAACAATGTAACACTAAGTATTGAGGAGATAGGTAAGACAGGAATCTCAGTAAAATAGTTATGACTTTTAATCTACCCATGAAACATGCATGCACACACACACACACACACACACACACACACACACACCGCAAGCATGTTGCTCAAGCAAAGTCTTTAGCATACTTAAGAAGATAATTGATTTTTAAGTCAATTAAATATTTGAATGTGTCTTCAACTAATTTTAATACTGAATCCTCTTTGAACATGCACAGATATAGAATGTTAAGTTGTATTTTTAAATATTAAAATATTATTTAAATATAATTTTTTTCTTTAGCAGATATCAAAGACACAAAGAGTGTGTCAGATGCTGAGGGCAGTGAGGAGAGAGGTAAGACAGTAAGGTCAACTTAACAGGTGTTCATTTAACACATTAAAAAAATTTACACACACACAAACAGGCTCTCACATGCAAACAGGTCTTCCAAACAGGTCGTCCATTGATGGGGATTTAATTTTTTGTCAGAAGACAGTCCACAATGGAGGATGGATCAACAAACATCATAAGAATGTCAGAAAATCTCTCTAGATCCACCCATTACAAATATTGTGTTTTTATTCCTTGTTCAGTGATCTAAATCTTTGAATACATCTTTGACTATGGTATTGAATCCTTGTTGTGCATGGGCATGGGATGTTGAATTTGTGTTCCTTTTTTTCCTTCAAAGACACTACAATTACTGTGACAGAGCTCGTGAAGGAGAGAGGTAAGACAGCAGGGACAATAGAATAGGGATCTATTTATTACATTGATGACATGTAATAGTGCATGTTCATTTACGCACACACACACAAAGGTACTGTACTTGGATGCATGTTGCACAAGCTAAGTCTGGCCTTTGACAGACCGAAGAAGATACTTTATCTTCTGAAAATTAATGCTTTTGTTGTTTAAAGATTGAACACAATTAATGTTGTCTTGAAAATTCAATTAAATTCTGTTCTTTCAGTTGATACCAAACTAAAAGAGAAGAACAATGTAACACTTGTAAAGACCATTAGCATTGAGGAGATAGGTAAGACAGGAATCTCAGTAAAATAGTTATGACTTTTAATATACTTACAAAATACACACACACACACACACCACAAACATGCTGCTCAAGCAAAGTCTTTAGCATACTTAAGAAGAGAATGTGTCTTCAACAAATTTTAATACTGGATTCTGTTTGGACATGCACAAATATGGAATGTTAAGTTTTTATTGTACCACCAGCGTAGGCACTGGCGGTACACATGGTTTTAGTCCCGACCCGCATGTTCCGCCGGCTCTGCCGGCTCCTCTGGCTCCGCCGCCATCTCACCGTTACCGCTTCTCCTCCTAGACGGTAAGGGCCTCCGTACCCATCTCTTGGATTTAGGTAACCTATAATCTCAACTCGTTCCACGTAAAATTTGGGCTTTGTCGGTGCTGGGGTCTAGGTGTGGCACTCATTGCAATACACCCTTGTCCAAAAATGGCAAAATTAAATGCTAATTATCTACCCTACGGAAGGAATTATGGGAAAAATTTCTACAGACGGCTATCCAAAAGTCATATGTGTAGATTTCAAAAATGCCCTTGGATTTGACCTTTGACCTTTCTTTCAAGGTCAAACAGGCCAAAATTTTCAAAAAAACGAAATTTTTTACGAAAAAACAATTATTTGCGCTGTAATTCAGACACTACACAGACTTAACCAATAATAGTATTGGAAAGTGTTACCCTTCGAGTCATCTTTCATCTCCGTGAATTTGGGGTCAATCGGTGCATTTTCACGGGAGGAGCGGCCATAAGATACCGAAACTGAAAACTGTCTCTAATTCAGGAACCGTTAATGCTAGAGACCCATTCTTTTTTGGCATTTTGTAGAGCATGTAAAGCCCAACACTGATAGTGGTCTCGTTTTTTTGTATTCCATACGGTTTTCGAGTTACGCTGTATCAAAAAGTACATATTGGTGGTGAAAGCAAAATGTGCAGTACGGTAATGGATAATAAATTTTGAACTCCTGAAAAATAAAACATAAGGCTTGGCAAAGCAGACAACTTGTGGTCAAAAATGACATTATTTCATCAAATTTGAACATCTGGAACTTCAGAGCACCTCCCATTTCAAGAATTTCAACCAAAATGTCTTTTTCTTTATTTTAATTAATTTTTTCTGCACGAAATTTATGGCACATTATTGTAACTCCAAAATTATAACATTTAGTCCCTTATATCTCCAAAACTGACAGAGATAGGTCCATAGTTACTATTGAACTCGAATAGGAAGTCAAATACTGGCAANAAGTGTTTTTTTTTTCTTTTGCACAATCGAACATGTCATTAAAAATCAATGTCCTTATTCATCTTGCACAATCAAACATTTTATTTAAAACCAATGTCCTTATTCATCTTGGCTTTCCTTACAGGTATTAAAACTTAAAATGTTGCAGACGTGTTGCAGAAAAAATATATAAATGGCAGTCAGAATCTGCCATCAGATGACCCTCAACTCAAAGTTTTTTAAAGATCAATAAATATGTTCTTAATCAGATAACAAACAAAATCAGTTGCAGAAGTGGTTGTGGTAGCTATCAGTCGATTTCACTTCTTAAACAACCCAGTTGCATATCTTACCTTCCTCGATCTGGTGGCTGCCATTTTTGTTGTGTCAGATCAGTCCAAAATTAACTTCCTCAAATAAAATTTGACACACTCAAAAGGTAATAACAAATTATTCAGAGTTGATTATCAGATATATATATATATATTATAAACCAATGAGCAACTCAATACGTATATTATTTGAAAAATGATATCCGGTATCAAACTATCTGTTTTCTTGTATTGGGCGTGAAATTAGCTACACAACAACCTGCCCCCCCCCCCTCCATTTTGGACTTGCCCAAGGAATTACCCTGTAGAGGTGAGAATCACGTGCCAGTAACAGAACGTAAACAAGATGGAGAGAGTAGCATCCCTGCTGCTGGCGGTCCTGCTAATATCAGCTGTTAAATGCAGCATACTAGACAATGAGATTGAGCAATTTATTAAAGGTGCTACAACAGGAAAACACTGGGCTTTAATCGTAGCAGGATCTAGTGGTTGGTTTAACTACAGACACCAGGTAATCGAAGTTTGTGTACTAAGGCACAAGTTTATCTTTGTTATCGTACTGAGTATCAGTGGCGATTAATAGAGGTACCAGGATATTTTCCTTTTAGGCAAAATTTTGGAAAAACCAAATTATGTGACAAAGCAGAATTTCACTAATTGATATAGATACTGTATCTCAGTTTATTCACACCCTTATAAGTAACAAGAGATCAACATTTTAATTTAAGGATAATTTTAAGATATTTTTCTTAATTATAATTTAAGTTTTATTTCTTTTTCTAATTAGGCAGATGTTTGCCATGCTTACCATGTTCTCCACAGCCATGGAATTCCAGATGAGAGAATTGTTGTCATGATGTACGATGATATCGCTCAAAATAGAAGGTGATTGCAATTGCATTTTCCGCTTTTTTAATTGTTGGTATTGGATAACATGGTTTTTGTACATTTGTAGAGAGTATTTTTGATAATTTACTTTTTTTAATACTCTGGTATTTTAAATATGTTTTTTGCATCTCTTTGGGATAATAAAAATACTGATGAAGGATGATGTAACTATTCATTGTGCATATAGAATTCTAAGTAAATGACCTCAGGATTTCTTTCTCCTCAGAATGTCTGATTGAAATATATTTTTTCTTTTTTTTTTCTTTTTTCCAGAAATCCCACCCCAGGCAAAATTATCAACAGACCAAATGGTCCAGATGTGTACAAAGGGGTGCCCAAGGACTATGTAGGAAAGGTATAGAAACCATTGTTTTATTTTATTAATTTTAAAGATTATTTAGCAGTTTTGGCCAACATCACAGTTTTTACTTGAAATTTGTAGATCTATTGTCAAACATCTGATTAACAGTAGAAGACAATGGAAATCTATAATAATATGCATAATTGGTAACCCTGAATAAATATAAAGTAGCATCTGCATGAGAAGTTGTGTCAATATACTCAACTTTTCCACATTGGGAAACAATGTGGACATAGATCATTGTATTTTAATTTGGTCATGCTTTGAGTCACATGATATTGACTGGATCTTGAAAAAATACCACCTGATGCAAAGTTAGGATCCTGACACTTAATGCAGGTACAAAAAAGAAAAAAAGAAGATAAAAAGATACGTGTTAAATAATAAACTACTGTGTGAAATTAGGTAGTGGTAGTACCAGTCTTGGGTAGCAATAAATTTTTATATTATTCAAGATAAAGAAAAGGGGTGGTTTGTATGCTCTTTGTTAATAGCTGTGTTGAGTGGTATTACTCAGCATGCTGTTACACAGTTTTATTATGTGCAAATAAAGGCACAGATTAAGCACCTGGCAATTCTGCTGGCAATTTCTTTCTGTCTTGGTTTTGTGTAATTTAACAGAAACACAAACCACAATGTTCTTATTCTATCTTTAGCATCAAACAACATTCATTTGTAGGATTTGTGGGAAAGGAAATAGTGAGCTCCCTAGCTGTTATGACCTTTCTTTGTAAAGGGGATAGATATGGAAAGATAATGTAGAAAATTATAGTTTTAAGGTTATGATTATGAAAAAAGCAAAGTCAGCTTTTTGACTTGTTGGTTTTACTTCGGTGAGTTGCTGGGATAATTCCGTTGTAAAGCGTGCATTAACATCCTCTGTATTTATGGAAATTAGTCTGTTGAGGTTGTGACTTGGCATAAGATATACATTTGCCAAAGTTTTACCAGTAACAAGTGCAGCTAGGTAGTCGAGACCACCTGGATTGTCTTTTCATGCAGTTTCTGAGACAAATAATAAATTTATGATTAAAGTTAGTGTGACTGAAAGTATAAGTTTATTTCAGACACCTGTAGTAATTCATTGGAGGTTAAGAGGTTTTGCCAAAATAAACCTCGTCTTATTAAAAGCCTGATAATTTCTTACTGGGCTTTTTCATAAATAATGCAGTTGGATTTTGTTGCTTCGGCAGTGGATTTAAGACCCCACCCCCCTTTAAGATCCTGGATACAGCTGTATTGGTCACTTAGTGCTCTATGTAGCCAGATAAATCCAGATTTATAACTAGTAGAACATTAAAATGCTATGTCCATATTTACTGACAGAGTCTGAGAGAGAGTTTGGTTAATGTTTTACAGTTGGCACTAGTTTGACATGTAAATATACTGCAACCTGGTTAAATTTTAACCCAAGTGAATGAGATACAGTTGGTTTGCAGGAATGTACTTTTTGATCTTTCTTCATGATATATAGATTTTTCGCCTTTGAATGAACATTGCCATATTACAACCTTGTGATGTTAGTAACTTACGATAGCAAGTCAAAGTGGAAGGAAACAAGATATCAAATTCTTATGTGTAATAAGGCAAATTGCCAAGTATTGAAAGGTATCGAAACTGAAAGCAGTATTTCTTTTTTTTTTAGCAGAGCACTTTGTGTGCTCAGAAATGTTTTGTTCGAAATCATCATTGTCATGTGTGTGATCAAGGTTAGACTGTGTACACTTCCTCTGTAGAAATTATCATGTACTGAAGTAATGCAGATACAATATCTTTCCTGTGTCAGAGCATCATGTGGTTTTGCACACTTTAGCCAGGTCTCTGTCACCTGTGTGTTCACCAAGTACTTGGGATATTGACATGTGGAGTGCACTTGTGTTTGCATACAGTCTGGAGTGTCATTATGGTCAATATCTCAGGGGGAGGGGGGGGGGCACGTGTTGTGTGTGTTGATGGGGAGGGTTTTCATAGGTACATATTACTCCTACCAATGGCAATTACAAGTGAACAAAAGCATTCTTTAATGCCTCTATGGTCATAACTTCAAAGAGTTCATTAAAGGGAGACATTGAAGTTTAAGGTTTTATAATAACTTTTTTCCCAGAAACCTTCCAATTTTTGAAAAAATAAAATTTTCAAAAATATTTCTCATAAAGGTTATATCACAAATGGAGCAAATGGGGACCAATTAAATATTTAAAGTTGAATACCTACTTTTTTATAATTTTGCTTTTACACAACATGTCATTTGCAATTTTAACATTTTTGTTAATCTTTTTTATCTGCATTGATCTTTATAGGTTTTTAATTGTTTTCACTGAATATATTTACAGACAGTGACTCCAGAAAACTTCCTGAGTGTATTGCAAGGTAACAAGAAGGCTCTTGGCAATTTGGGCAGTGGGAAGGTGATTAACAGGTAGGTGCTTCAGAGAGAAACCTTGGTAAACTTGGTTAGTAAACACATTTTGCATTTTACTTTTGATACATAACAAGGGTCATTAGAATGACTCTCCAACATACCATAAAGTTTTCACTATGGAGTTTATTGGAAAGAATTGTTTTCTCATTATAACAGTATCAATGTGTTTAGAATATGTATACATTTCAGTGGGCCCAATGACCACATATTTGTCAACTTTGTGGACCATGGTGGACCAGGGGTGCTGGCTTTTCCTCGTGGGGAGGTATGATGATTGATCTGATATTGGAATTAATTGATTGAAATATGATGAAATCACTCTAAAAGTTTCAGAGGGTTCTATTCATGCAATTGAAAAAAATATCATTGTTTATTGTTAGTAGATAAGCAACCTGCATTTTTTTTTGCTCCCACAGTCCATAATTTTATCTTTGTCACATTTAAATGCACCATTTTTTCTTTTAAACATGAATAAGATTTAAATTCAAGTTCTCTTCATTTTAGCTTCATGCCAAGGCTTTGAACAAAGCTTTGAATGACATGTATGATAAAAAGAAATTTGCAAAGGTAAGATGATGCATTTTCCCAGAAAGATTGTTCATGAAATAAAAGGTACCCAAAAAGGTCCATAAGAGGTTTTTAAAAATTAATGCTTTCTAAAGGGTAATCACTTCAATAGGGTCAACAAATATAATACAAAAGGAACTTAATGCATCATCCTTTACATTGGGTTAAGAAGAAAAAAGTATCTATAACATACATAGTATTTTTAAGATGGGATTTAGATGGAGGGATGGTCTCCAGATTACTCAAAAAATTGTTTATTGCATCATTTTTATATGTACATGTATTTATATAAAACCATACAATGATATAAAAGTATATAAAACCAAACAAAGCAGAAGTTTATCAACACTGTTTCTTTATTGTGTTGAATATTTAAAAATTGAAAAAAAATTTTTTTTTTTCACAGATGGTGCTGTACATAGAAGCTTGTGAATCTGGCTCAATGGTGGCTAACCTCCTGCCGAAGAATATTAATGGTACAAAATTCATAAAATGCACCAAATCGCTTTCAATTGTTATAGTAATTAAAAAGAAATGGGACATGTACAACATGATTTACTTAGTGTGTGTGTTTGTGTGAATAGCATTTTCCCTGCAGTCTAAATATGTCAGGCTTATTGTAATTTTGGTTGTTTCAGTGTATGCAACTACTGCTTCCAACCCCAAGGAATCCTCCTATGCCTGTTTTTATGACAAGGAAAGAGAAACATACTTGGGGGATGTCTACAGTGTCAAATGGATGGAAGATTCTGATAAAGTAAGAATGTAAAGTTGAACTTTGTCAGACACAACTGTATTTTCTTTATATTTAATCAAAGTACAAAAAAAAACATTTTATTTCTGTTAAGAACAATTATTTAGCAAACCAACACCTAAACTTCAATTTTAAGGAATTGGTATCATTATAATTAATGCCTATAAATTTGTTTTTAGGAAAATCTCCAAAAAGAAACCCTTAAGAAGCAGTTTCGTATTGTGAAAGAAGAAACAAACACAAGTCATGTTATGGAATACGGAGATCTGGTAAGAGAGTTAGTTTGGCTTTACAGCATTCAGAATGTCTTGTTTTTTCAGTCTGGTTAAATCCTTCTCCACATTCTTCCATTTTGTTAGAAAATCTGAGATGGGGCTAGGTCCTCTAATTTAGCTTTCAGAAAGCCTTGCCCCTGATGGTGAATCAAGACAGCTGCCATGGGCCAGAAGTAATATGATTTATTTTTCGTAAAACTTGAATAGGGATATTTTAGCTATGTCTAACAAATGTTTTTCTGTTCTGGTGGTCAGAAGTTATTTGGTCTACCTATAATAGTAAGTATAGTCTCTATTTGCCTGAAGCATATAGTTATGCTCTATCTGCAAAGCTCTATCACAAGATATCTTTACACTTCATTGTTTTTCCAGTCTATAGCAGAATCCACTGTGGCAGAGTTCCAGGGAGGCAAGGCAACGCCACCTAAGGAGTATCCCCCAGTCCCTGTAAGTGTGAACAAGACTTCTGCTTTTCAAAGACAAGATTAAGCAGTGTCTGTGCTTTCATCAAAAGCTGGCTTTTATTTTGATTTTTGTAAATGTAAAGAATTTCTTGAAATTTAGATCATTGTTCTTTTAAGCTGTTTTGAGGTCATAAAATTATAACCCTGAAATAATAATAGTCTAAATATTTTAACCTTGTAGTGAAATATTTTGCAATATCAGGAGAAGGAAATTCTATTTTTTCACTTTCTGTGGACAAAATTGATTTGCAGCCCAATGACTAAAGACTGGTTTCAAACCATGCAAACAGCACCACCAACAACAACAATGAAAAAAATGAGGTAAAAAACTGCACTTTACTTCTGTTTTCCTATTAGCTGGATGCAGTGCCTTCCCCAGACGTCCCCATGGCTATTCTGTACCACAGACTGGAGGCTGCCAAAACTGAGGAACAGAGAGAAGAAATTAGACAAGAGATGGAAAAAATACAACTTGTAGGTCTTCACAGAAACTTAGCTGTCACTTATAAAATTGAAAAGTATACTTCAAATGAAATAAGTTATTTAAAAAAAAGTTGCTGTCTTAATGACTTTTGTATTGCATTTTTTTTGTGTGTGTGTGTGTGTGTGTGTGTGTGTGTGTGTGTGTGTGTGTGTATACTCATATCTTCTATTAACAGATTCTATGTTGCAAATATTTCAGAACAAGGACAAAGTGATGATAACTATGAAACACATAGCAGGCTATGCAACTAAAGATCATGTTCAGGCGGCCAGAGTCCTGCAGTCACAACTTCCTTTAATCAAGCATGACTGCTACGAACCTGTAGCAAGACATTTCCTCAGTGAATGCTTCAGAGTCAGTGAGGTAAGTTACACTGGTTCCCAACTCGAGTGTATTTCAAATATTGATTTAAAAATGATATATTTAATGTTATGATTGTGATGTGAAGAATAATTTTTGGAAAAATGTGATATTTGAAGTGTTTTTGTTGATGCCAAATCTTCTTGATGACATTACAGAATGAATATGCCCTACGCCACCTTTATGTCCTAGTAAACCTTTGCCAGGAAAATGTACCACAAGAAACTATCATAAGTGCCATGGAGAAAGCATGCAAGAAGGTGGAGTAAGTGGATAGGCAGCCTTTAGAGTATAAACAGGGATTCCATGCCATCCAATTTCTGTCACCATCAGCTCTGGAGAAGTTAAACATGATTATCATTTTAGCTATTACTTTTATGTAAACTGGATCAATGAAAACTATGTGAAGTGCCATGTGCTATGCAACCAAAATATGGGAAGTGCATTTCAATATTTACCAGATCTTCATGCTTTTCATTTAATTGGATTTTTTGTCTCTATATTAAATTTTGAGTATTTTATAATATGTGCATTTTTAATCAACTTCATATTAGTTTCACTTATGGCTATGTTTTTATCCAAAGGTCTGATAGTTTTATGGCAAATCCCCAGATAGTATACCACAATTTTAAATCGCATTTATTGTTCAAACATTATTACTCATTGCATTTTTAGACACAGAGCAGTTTAGTTAATTCCTTCATTAACAGTTTTATTAGTGAGCTGAATAAAAGCAACAATGTGACTCATTTTTTAGTGATTTTACAATGGCCTTTAAGATGCATACAGTGCACTGCAGTATATTGAGCACATGCATTTATCAGGATCTGATATTAGAAATCCAGTAGTTTTTAAGACATCAATTTGTACAGCTCTTTGCTCCGTAATCATTCCATTGTTCCAAGACCAGATCTGACCCTTCTGTGGTTTAACAAAAGTGTTCCATAAAGATTCGCTGTACATCCTAGTGATTGTTTTTTTTTTTTTTTTTTTTTTTTTTTTTTTTTTTTTTTTTGTGAAAGAGGGGGGAGGGTATTTAATTTGGCTGTTTATTACAGACATTTATTTCCCACTAATTAATTTTAACATTATATTCCAGAGTTAGATCTGAAACAATTTAACACCAGTGTTCTGTCATAAATTTCTGGATGTGTAAGAATTTTTTAAAATTTTATTTTGTAATCAAGTTTGATTCATTGTGTCATCATGTTTATATCAAGTGAAATAGTTTTTCATGTTAACAGGACTTTGTCATTCCTCATGTCATACCCGAGAATACTAAAAACAGAAGTATACTGTGCATGACTAAATTTGATGGCTGTGATTAAAATTTAGGCAATTTTACTATTTATATATGGATGGTTACTAATTAGATGGAAATAAATAATTTATAATAGGTAATTTCATCTTTTCTGTTTCAATTGTGAATGCAGACATCCCATTTCAACTCCTGCAGCAAAGACAGATATTTTAGTTTTTGCACTCCCTAAAAACTTAACTATGTATTAACAGCATGTATCTGCCATCTCCAGTTTCCGCAAACAAATACTACTACAAATGTGCCTTTCACAATTTGAGATTAAACACTGACGATAATGAGGGAAGCTCCTTTAAATCTCTTAAAACTCTAGGCATTAAGTGTGAAAGTTTAGTGAAAGGAATAAGTCTCAAAGTAACTTCAAATAAAGTTTTGTGAGAGTAAAAGTAAATGGACAAACTCATTTTTCACATTTTAAAAACAAGATATAATTTTGTGGCAAACACTTTGCAGCCACCATTATAATATAGAAAAACATTACATATATGTAGACATGTTCACTTTCAGGTGAATTGATATCTGGTGCATATAAAGTTCTGGTAACACATTAATCATTTATGTACAAACCTGCACTCAACAAACCATCAATTTTACATTTTCTAACCTATGAAATATTTTTTGTCAGTTTGCCAATAACCAGCTGCTGTCATAAAATGTGTTGTTCCCCTGCCATATTTAGAAAAGGTGTCTATTGTACCCTTGTTAAAATCAAACAAGCTGGCAAACAGCATTAAATAATAGGAAAGCTGCTTCAATTATGACAAACTCCAGTCACAATTACCCCAGTGACAGTAAATATTTACAACATTTTATACAATTCTAAGTTTTAGTTTGAAGATGACCCCCCTTGCCCTATTATTGGCAGGTAACTGACAAATGCTCACAGACTTTAAAATAAATAGGTTACGATATATGATTACAATCTAAACTTCACAGTCTGTTTTATACTCCAAAGCCTGCTATACAGAAGTCTCTTGAATGGTCAAGATAACCAGCAGAAAAAGGCATCACCTATCACAATGTCAAACCATTTGACTATGTACACTACAGTCTATTCCTGATACTACACCAGAGGGCTGCTGGCAATATAAATACTAAAATTGTCAGAGGTTGTGAAACACACCNTATTGAAGGAGAGATAACTGGAAATTATTCTAAGTGAGTATTATAAATAATTATATTCCTTACACAATATAATGCATATGCCTGTATCCATCATGGGTGTACAAATTATGGGTCCAAGGCCTGTAGTTTCAGAGCTAATTGCACTGTACATAATAATAATGATGATGTTTGCTGTTTTTTATATTCAAAGTGATTACAGAAATAAACAGCAGTTGTAAATGTAGATTGGTCTGGTGATAGTAGCCTGCATGTACATGTATTTCCCATGTGACATCTCAAAAGGTGATATGTACAGGTAGAGTTGGGATTGTGGATGTAAATACATAAATCTTTTTTAAAAAATTACTTTATCTTTCTTGTTTGAGAAATTAGATTGAGATGCACATTTTTGCAACCATTGTCAATTTATTCAAAATATTTGAATAACAAAGACTAATGTACAAGTATAAAGCATTAAGTATAATACAGAAAAGCTGGTGATCATATGAGTATGTTGGAAATGAGAGCCGAAGTGTCATTCAATTAAGACGATTGCACATTATGAGAGTCCCCCAGAGTTGGGTTGATCCACTTAGACCAATGGTGTGTCTATGGGAATGGGGTGTTAGGTTTTTATGTTTTATGTCATTTCTTTGTTAATGATTTCATTCTAACTGACTAGCTGGTCATTAAGACTGTCACTTCATATAAATTTCTACAAGAGATGTCCAGTTCAGATACTTTTCTTTGTCAATGAGTGATTTTATCTTTTCTAAAAGCCTGAACTAGGAAAGATAATATTAAAAGCTTTGCGGGATATTTTGGTTATCCATTATCGATCAATATGACTGTCCAAGATGTCAAGCAAAATTTCAGCTACCGTAATAGTGTACAGCAGGCTGTGAGACCATAGGTAATTACCCTCTGAACAGACTCTACTAATACAAAATGGTTACTAAATTTGGTTACTTACAAGTCATCAATGTAGATTTCAAATATGCCCTTGGATTTGACCTTTGACCCTTTTTCAAGGTCAGAGAGGCCAACATTTTCTGAAAATGGAAATCTTTTTGCAAAAAAAAGTGAGAACTGTGAATTAATGTTCAGTGAATGGTCTCTAGGCCCAAATAAAAAAAGATTCCTTTCCCGTCGATTGAACCACATTGATCCAAGAAATTCAAGTTGTTCCAACTGTTAGAATGTTTAGGGTCCCCAACGTTGATGTGCCGGGAGACTTTCGGTGTGTTGGCAAAATTTGATCTCCGGTGTTTATTCACTCTTACTTGTAAATCAGCACAACAGAAGCCATAGAGGAAAATGTTGGCTACATGAAGGCAAATGCCATATACTAGAACTTTCGTGAACATCAGGGGACTTTGCTGGCTGATGCAGGGTTTTGATAAGATGTAAGAATGGAGTCGGGGTTGTTTATCTAGGGGTTACAAAGTATGTTTTGCCTTTCTTCAGTTAAATCCTTGCAAATATATGTATACATATCAGTTGACAGCAAGGGAGTTGATATAGAACCGACACGTGCATCGCTTTCTCTCCAGTTCTCGTTATATAAGAGGGGGGAGAGACGGGACTAGTGTTTCCAGTGGATCCGACAATACATTAAACCATTCTAGACTATAAAGAAAGATTTGCTGCTATAAGCTTTATTAATTCGAATAATCCCTTACATTCTCATCAAGAATCTAGCGCATGGACCTTAAATGATTATTGATTACAATGCAACAAGAAGATTTCAATAAAATGTAATAATTTTTGTTTAACATATTGTTGAAACATTTTCATATCATCTCTTCAAATAGAATTTAAGGTAACTATAAATGTCATCCACAAATGAATGATGCATAATTAAGACAACATAAAGGGTTATAATTATAAGCAAGTTTGGATATAAAATGCCTTTTGAAACTAACATACCACAGTCTATATTTCAGACTCCTTGAAACAGTTTATTTAAATGAATTAATTCTTGGTAATCAACTTGACGTATTAAAATAAGCATCTATGAATCAATATAAGGGCTGCTACCGAAATACATGCACATAACTAAAGATCACTTTATTCTTGGCATCAGTTGAGGATCTGCTCTTGTATCTATCCGAAAATATTTTGCCTGTGCCATGGTGCCTGACAAATGAATTTAAACGATTCACTACATTTTTTGTCGACGTATTGGTAACTGCTCCCAGAGTTAATGGCAACACAATCATCATCGTTAGGAGAAACGGCTGGGTGTCCGGGATCCCAACTTGGTGTATATGTAATGTCGGCGCCGTTAACAAATTTCCATTTCCCCTCTGTTTCAGTGTCAGTGACTCCTATAAACGTTAAAACGAGTGTATTAAGCAATTATGGCTAACAAACTTGCATGGTTGGGGATTTAAACACATTTCATCACATATTTCATCATCAATATATCTCGCATATGTCTGTTGAGATTTGTATCTCTGTTAGCTTATTGCACCACCAGCGACGATTTGTTGTCAACACTGTCCCCAGACAGCCTCAATAATCTGGCCC